CGGGGCGGGTTGGTGAGCGTGTCGTTGTCCCGAGCTCCTCCCCGGCGCGCGTGGCGCCGACTCGGTCCCCGATTCGAGGCGACCGGGCGGTCGTCGGTGGCGCCTGTGAGGGCGGTGGGGTTGTTCATGACCTTGTACGCGAGGGCGTGCTTGCACACGCCCCTGTGCTGGTAGTCGCCGCAGGTGCAGAAGAAGTTGCCGCCCTCGAGCGGGACTAGCAAAATCCCCGCGTCGAGGGCCGCGGTGACGGCGCCCCACGACGGCGCGCGCGCGCCGCGGCCCGACGACGACGACGCGTCGCCCGTCGCGAGCCCGACGAACGGTGCGAGCCGGCGGTCGACCTCCGTCGTCCAGGCCTCCTTGTCGTTCGTGTCGAGCGCGCGGAGCATGTCGACGTAGGTCGCGTCGGAGATGAACGCGACGGGCGGCGCCGCGAGGTCCGGCTTGACGCCGATGATGAGGAGCATGGACGTGAGGTGGGTCCCCGAGGTGAGGATGTCGTAGCGGATCTCGACGCCCTTGAGGAGCTGCACCGAGCTCAGGACCGCCGTCGCGTCCTTCGCCAGCTTCGTCTGCGGCGTCGACGGCGGCGCGTCGTACGCGAACTCCGCGTTGAGCTGGCTCTTGTCCTGCACGTAGGCGAAGATGTCCGAGAGGAAGGCGAGGACGGGTTTCATCGTATATTCCGTGCACTGCTCCTTGAGCGTCTTGTTGGAGGCCTCGAGCGTGTTCGTGTCATTGGGGAAGCCCGGCGGCAGCTCCGCGCGCGTCCACGCGCCGTTCTCCAAGTACTCTGAAGAAAACCATTTCATCACCTCGCCCTCGCCGAGGTCCGTGTAGCGCTGCGTGAGCGCTTCGAAGACGGAGTTTAAAGCGTGGTGGAAGACGCCGCTGATCTTCGACACGAAAAACACGTCGTTGTGGAGCTGCTGTCGCAGCTTCTTGTTCTTGAACATCTTTTTGTGCTTATCCAGCGCCATCAAGACGTGCGACTTGCAGCGGCCGTCGATCGGCGGCAGATTCGGCGTGGCCTGGTATGTGTCGGGTTTTTGGCCAGTCAAGCGCAGGTGGACCAGCGACGATGCCATCGCACCCACAAAATCCTGTGGCGAGCTGGCCTCTCGGACAAATGCCACAAAATCCTCCAGCGGGCCTTTGCGTTGCGCCGTGTTGCACACCGGCCGAGCTTTCAAGACCGGGGGTCTTCGCCGTGCCATCGCTGGCCTAGCCATGGGTCCGAGTATTACTCGAAGTACGTAGGAGGAGTGCCTTTCCTCTGCGTGCTCCGTCTTCGGGCGAGCGTGTGGGGACGAGGCTGAGCGCGCGCGCGGGACCCCCTTGGGAGGCCGACGTTTGACCTGGGTTGACGAGCGCCAAAATCTGAGAGCGTTCAAAGCTATGGAGGCCTTTATGACCAAGACCAAGCCTGCCGTAGCCGCAGCTGCACCGGAGAAGCCCGCCGCGCCGTCGCCGGTGAATGATCCGAAGCCCGTGTCCGCGGCGACGTCGCCGGAGAAGCCGGCGAGCGCGAGCGCGCTCATGGAGCAGCTCCAGGCCCTCGTCGCCGCCGCGGAGCCCGGCGCCGCGAAGCAGCTCGTCGGCGAGCTCAAGGCGCTCGTCGCGGCCTGCGCCGACGTCGTCGCCGCCAAGGAGCAGCGGAAGTCCGCGCAAGCCATGGGCGCGGTCAAGTTCGAGTTCCCGGAGCTCGGCTGCGTGCAGCCGCGCGGCAAGCTCGCGCTCCGCGTCGGCGCGTCCGCGCTCTGCTGCGTCGACCCCAAGAAGGGCGACACGAAGTTCGAGGCGAGCTTCGCCGACGTCCGGGCCGTGCTCGTCGTGCCGCCCGTCGAGAGCAGCAAGCCCGGCGAGGCCGCGACGCTCGTGCTCGCGGCGATCCCGCGGCCGCCGCCGCTCGCGGAGCCGCCGTCGACGAAGCAGATGGTCGACGCCTACAAGAAGGCGTCGCTGACGGCGTCCCTCGCGGACAAGGTCGCCAAGGTGCCGTTGGACGCCGCGGCGCTCGGCCGCGCGTTTCCCCAGCTCCGGATCCTCGGGGGAGCGACGCTCGGCGACGCGTTGCCGGAGGCGCTCGCGCGCGCGACGGCCTGCGGCGCCGTCGAGCCCGTGCTCAAGGGCGCGCCCGGCGCCGGCACGACCTTCTTCGCGTCGCTGGGCACGCGCGCGCCCTACGTCCGCGCGAATTTGGGCTCCAGCCAGGGCCACCTCCACCTCACGGCCGCGGGGCTCTTCTTCCACAAGTCGCCGTGCCTCTTCCTGCCCGTGTCGTTGATCGCGTCCATCGCCTGCGGCCGCGCCGGCGCGGCGAACTGCTCCAGCTTCGACCTCGTCGTCGAGATGGAGAACCCCTACGGCGGCGACGACGGCGGCGACGGCGCGAAGAAGCCGCCGACCTTCGAGTTCGCGAACGTCAACAAGGACGAGCTCCCGGAGATCCAGCGCTTCATCCGCGACGTCATCCTCAAGGCCCGCGACAAGGCGTTGAAGGCCGCCAAGGGCGACGCCGGCGACGCCGCGGCGGACGACGCCGCGGACGACTCGGACGACGACGACGACGACTTCGACCCGGACAAGGACTCCGACGACTCCGACGAGTCCGACGACGACGACGAGGAGAAGCCCGCGGGCGACGCGGCGGCCGCGGACGACACGGACAGCGACCGCGAGGGCGGCGGCGACGACGACGACGGCGACTTCGAGTCCGACGACTCCGACGACTCCGAGGACGACGCGAGCGACGACGGCCTCAAGCCCGGCGGCCTCGAGGACGAGAAGATCGAGGCGCCGAAGAACAAGAAGCGGCGCATGTAGGGGTGCGCGAGTAAAGGGCAACAAGGCTTCAAGAAAGGCTGTTACGCGCCCGCGAACCGCTTGAGGCCCGAGGCGAACCAGCCGAAGGCGTCGGAGGACCGCTGCGAGTCCTTGGACGTCGACGGCCGCCGGGGCGCCGCGTCCTGGCGCGACTGGGGCCGGCTGCCCGGCCGCGGCCGCGTGAGCTTGTCGTAGGACGTCTTCGAGGACGCGGTCCCCGACGTCAGGGGCCGGCTGCCCGGCCGGAGCTCGACGTCCGGCGGCGGCGGCCGGGGCTGGGACGCGCGCACGAGCAGCCCCGTCGCGTGGGGGTCGACGTCGTGGCGCACGTCCGGGATCGACGCCGCGTAGCGCGGGCTCGGCCGCGGCGACGACCGGGGCCGCGGGCTCGGCCGGGGCCGTCCCGCCGGCGGCGTGCCCAGGGACCGCGGGCTCGGCCGCGGCCGCGGGCTCCTCGGCGGCCGCGGGCCCGGCGGCCGCGGCGGGCCCGCGAGGCGCGACGCCGACGGCGCGCACGAGCTCGCGTCCTCGGGCACGGGCGACGGCGCGTCGCGCGCGGGCGACGGCGCCCCCGGCTTCCGGGGCGTGTAGGACGCCGCCGCGGCCGCCGCCGCGTCGTCGAGCTGGCCGCCCATGGACGCGCCGAAGAAGGGGAGCGCGGGCAGGTCGCGCGCGTCCTGCTCGCGCTTCCGCGCGCGGCGGTCACGGGCCCGGCGCCGCGCGGCGTCGCGCGCGGCCTCCTCCGCGGCCTCGGCGCGCAGGCGCGCCTCGCGGCCCGGCGTCTTCTGGCGCGTCGTCGGGCGGCTGGACGTGCGCGTCGTCGGCCGGCTGGACGTCCGCGTCGACGGCCGGCTCGACACGCGGCTGCTCAACGGCGGCGACGGGTCCTCGGGCCCGCCGTCGGGGTCCACGAGCACCGGCAACAGCGTGGGCAGCGTCGGCCACTTCTCCCGCTTGAGTTCCGACTTCTCGATGCCCGCGAGGAGCGCCCTGACCTCCTTGGCCGCGTCGGACGTCTCGAGCGCCGCGTCGCGCGCGGCCTTGGAGACGGCGCGCGGCGTCGGGCCCCGCTTCTCGCGCTCCGCGGCGCCGGGGAGCCACGTGCCGCTGCCGGGGCCCTTGCGGTCCGCGGGCCGCAGCACCACGTCGCCGCCGAGCCGCTCCTTCGCGAGCGCCTCCGCGGCGACGGCCGTGCGCGCGCTCCAGACCCGCGAGCTCCGCTTCCGGTTCACCTCGTTCTCCTCGCGGCGCCGGTCCTCCGCGTCCTCCGCGAGCTTGTCGCTGAGGAGCTGGAGGTCGAAGAGCTCGCGGAACATGTTGAAGCGCTGGCGCCTGCGCGGAAATCAACCGGTGAGCTGGGACGTCCCGACCGAACTTTGAAATGCTCTCGCTCGGTCACATCGAAGTCGATTCGGCTGATTTGTGGACGAATCGATTGCTCGCATCGAGTCCTCGACGCACAATCGAAGAGTCTGGTGCACTCCGTTGGAGTCGGGTCGAAGATTCGAGTTCCGCGCGGGCCGGCGCTGCATGTTCTTCGAGCCGCCCGTGATGGAGTTGAGGAGCATCTCGCGCCGGTAGAGCGTCGCGAACTGGAAGAAGGACTTCTCGTCGCCGTCGGCGCGCTGCTCGTCGCTCAACCGAAAGAACGTGTGGCCGACGTCGTCGGAAGTCATGACCGTCAGGAACTCGTCGAAGCTCAGCGTGCCGCTGCCGTCGCTGTCCGTGTACTCGAAGGTCTGCAGGATCTTCTCGCGGTCGAAGGGGTGCTGCGGGTTGAGGGCCCGCACGAACTTCATGGCCTGCTCGACCTCGTCGACCTCGATGTCGCCGGACCCGTCCATGTCCATGTGGTCGAACATCTCGCGGAGCTGGCGGACCTTGCCCTCGTCGAGCTCCGCGCGCTTCACGACGCGGTGGTTGTGGTGCTTCTCGAGCCAGCGGATCGTCGAAAAGTTCAGCACCTTGGTCTCGGCCTGGAGCAGGTCCGTCGACTCGCCCTTGCGCGTGATCACGGGCGCGACGAGCGAGATCTTCCCGTCGCCGCCGCCGCCCATGCCCGCCTCCTGGCGCGACGCCATGGACGCGCGCCGCTGCGCCGCCATCTGCGCGATCTGCGACGCGCGCCGCTCCATGCCCGACACGGCGCTGATCAAGGACCCCACCTTGCGCAGCTTGGCGGCCTACATATTTGGAACGCGTGAGGTTGATTTTTTGCTGAGACGCTGCGTTAGTCACCCCGCCCTCCGGCGGCGCGGGAGCCGCCGGCGGCGCTGCGACGGCTGCCATTCTCTCGCACTTCACCGGTGCGTTCTAAGAGACCACATCGTCGTTTCCTCTCATCCCGTATCTCGCACTTGAAGCCTGGTTGCCGACTGCTAGGGCGTGCACGTGCCGAGCTCGAAGCCCGTCTCGGCCGCCGGGCTCGACGGCTTGAAGCTTTCCAACCTTCGCTCTAAAGATGCAGGCCATCTCCATCCTCGCCGCACTCGCCACGGCCTCGGCCTTCGCGCCGGCCCAGAGCCCCGCCGTCGCGGCCCGCAAGGCCGTCGTCGTCGAAGCCAACGTGGGCCTCTACTTCTCGACCATGTTGCGCGCAGCGTCCGCAACCCCAGGCACCTGCGCAGGCGCTCGCGAGGCTCCACGCGTCTCGGCGCGAGCGCCTCGGACGCCTCCGACGCAACCCCCACGAAACCCTGTTGAAAGACCATTCACCTCTATGCGCGCGCGCAGGTCCGGCAACACGGAGCGCATCGCCGGCTACATCAGCGACCAGACGGGCGCGTCCCCCGAGGGCGTGGCGGGCGTCACGGCCGCGGACCTCGAGGCCTGCGACTCCATCATCGTCGGCGCGCCGACGTGGAACACGGGCGCGGACGACATGCGCTCGGGCACGGACATCGACTCGTGGCTCTACGACGTGCTGCCCTCCGCGGACCTCAAGGGCAAGAAGGTGGCCCTCTTCGGCTGCGGCGACCAGGCGGGCTACAGCGGCAACTTCTGCGACTCCGTCGGCGAGCTCTACGACTGCTTCACGGCCCGCGGCGCGACGGTCGTCGGCTTCACGTCGCAGGACGACTACGAGCACTACGAGTCCAAGGCCGTCCGCGACGACATGTTCTGCGGGCTGCTCTGCGACGAGCAGAACCAGATGGACATGTCCGAGCAGCGCGTCGCCGACTGGGTCGAACAGCTCAAGGGCGAGGGCCTCGCGCTCTAGGCGCGCGGGCCTCGCCGGGGGACTCCTAAGAGAAGCGAAGCAGACGTGTGTGTCGCGGCCGCGCTCAGAACACGTGGCGAGTGTTAGGGGCCCGTCTTGGGCTGGGGCGGGCGTTGGCGCGCCTAGGCGCCGACGTGCCACGCGCGGATGAGGCCGTCCGTGTAGCCGGAGAAGAGGACGGCGCCGTCCGCGGACCAGCAGATGCAGGTGCAGTAGGGCGGCGTGGCGTTCTTGCCCATGGCGGGGAACTCGGGCTTGAGCTCGTCGACGACGACCTTGGACTCGAGGTCCCAGATCTTGACGCCGAGCGTCGTCGCCGCGCAGAGCCAGTAGCGGTTCGGGGAGAAGACGAGGGAGTGGATGACGTCGCCGGCGTCGAGGGAGTAGAGGCGCTTGCCCTCGTTGAGGTCCCAGAGCATGGCCGTGCCGTCCTTGCCGCCGGACGCGCAGAGCGAGCCGTCGGGCGACACCGTGACCGTGTTGAGGTAGCCGTTGTGGCCGTAGAGGTTCGTGCGGAGCTTGCAGTTCGTCAGGGACCAGACCTTGACGAGCTTGTCCCAGCCGCAGGACACGATGACCGGCGCCTGCACCGACGGCGAGAAGCGGACGCACGAGACCCACTCCGTGTGGCCCTCGTCCGAGATCGTGTACTTGCACTCGCCGAGCGTGTTCCAGAGCTTGACCGTCTTGTCGCGGGAGCCGGACACGATCTGGCGGTTGTCCGTGGAGAAGGCCACGGACAGCACGTCCTTGGTGTGGCCCACGAAGCGGCGCGTCGTCTTGCCCGTCGCGAGCTCCCAGAGGCGGAGCGTGCCGTCCCACGAGCCGCTGAGCGCGAACTGGCCGTCGGACGAGATCACGACGTCGGACACGAAGTGGCTGTGGCCCTTGAGCGCGCGGCGCGGGTAGCCGTAGGCCTCGCCCTCGGCGGAGCCGCCGCCGGCCGTGAGCGCCCAGAGGAGGACCGTCTTGTCGCGCGACGACGACAGGATCATCGACGGGTCCTCGGACGTCGTCGCGATGGACGTGACCCAGTCGCTGTGGCCCTTGAGGGTGCCGCGGAGCGTGAGAGCTTCAGCCATGGTTCTAACCTGCGCGCGGGGGGGACGGTCGAGGCGCCGTGCGGGCGGCGGAGCGCGCGCGGTCCGGACGGCGGCGGAGCGAGCGCGCGCGGCGGTTCTCTCGTCGCAGCGCCGCCCGTGGCCGTCGCAGCGCGCGCCGCGACTCGGAGCGCGGAGCCTCGGCCGCGTCGCCGCGCGTCGGCCGATCCCAGCGCCTCAAGAGGCGCGGGGACGGCGGCGACGTCGGTTTTTCGCGCCAGTTTCGCAGCTCCAGCGCTCCGGGTGCGACTCGCGCGGCGACAACCCGAACGGAGCGGCGAATCACGGTTGGGCGGCGCACAAACTGCATCGGACGCCGTCGCCTCGCTGGTTGTCGAGCTGATCTCGTTTTGGGCGAGGCCTCGGCGACCCCGGCGAGGCCTCGAGCCGCCTCGAACCCCCGGCCAAATTGTCGGCCCGGGCCCCGGGGTCGACGACGTCAGGAGCTCTCGGACGCCAAGTCGGACGCCTCGCACCCTGGGACCCTTGCGTCCGCGTGTGACACGGGCACGTGAACTTACATCCGGCGCGGCTCGGGGTCGGTGCGAGGGCGAGGCGCGGCGGCGGGGCCCGGGCGGTCCCGCGCGCCGCTTAGGCGCACGCCTTCTTGAACGCGCGGTCGAAGTCGATCTTGATGTCCTCGAGGTCCTCGTAGCCGACGGAGACGCGGACGCCCGCGGGCTTGACGCCCGCGGCGATCTGCTGCTCCGTGGAGAGCTGCTGGTGCGTCGTCGACGCCGGGTGGATGACGAGCGTGCGCGAGTCGCCGACGTTCGCGAGGTGCGCGCACATCTCGACGGAGTCGATGAACTTCTTGCCGCGCGCGCGCGCCTCGTCCTCGTCCTTGCCCGCGAGCTCGAAGATGAAGACGGAGCCGAAGCAGCCCGGGCGGAAGTACTTCTTCGCGAGCTCGTGCGACGGGTGCGACGGGAGCGACGGCGACAGCACGGACCCCTTCTTGACGGCCTCGTGGTCGCTGAGCCAGAGCGCGAGCGCGTTCGCGTTCTCGTTGTGGGCCTTGCACCGCAGGGACAGCGTCTCGATGCCCTGGATCAGTTGGAAGGCGTTGAAGGGGGCGATGCAGCCGCCCATGTCGCGGAGCGTCTTCACGCGCGCGAGCAGGATGAAGACCGTGTTCGTCGCGTCGCAGCCGAAGACCGGGTGCTCCGAGAAGACGCCGCCGTGGTACGACTCCTGGGGCCCGGCCACCAACGGAAATTTCAGGCTCCCGTCGGCCTTCTTCTTGCGCCAGTCGAACGTCGAGCCGTCGACGATGACGCCGCCGATGGACGTGCCGTGGCCGCCGATCCACTTCGTCGCCGACTCGACCACCAGGTCCGCGCCGCAGGCCAGGGGCTTGCAGGTCCAGCCGCCCTGGCCAAAGGTGTTGTCGCAGACGACGGGGATCTCCGCCTTGGCCGCGATGGCCTTGTAGCGCTCGAAGTCGGGCACCGTCGCCGACGGGTTCGAGATCGTCTCGATGTAGATACATTTGGTCTTGTCGTCGATGAGCTTCTCCGCCTCCTCGGGCTTGGACGCGTCGAAGAAGCGGGCCTCGATGCCCAGCTGCTTGAAGCTGTACTTGAACTGCGTGTACGTGCCGCCGTAGAGTTCCGCGGACGCGACGAAGTTGTCGCCCGCCTCCATGAACGTGAGGAGGCAGTGCATCTGGGCGCTCTGGCCCGAGGCGACGACGAGGGAGTTGGGCAGCGTCGTCGCGTTGTCGCAGTCGCCGTGCGCGAGGCACGGCGCGCCCTCGAGCTTCGCGATCTTGTATTCCAAGACGTGCGTCGTCGGGTTCATCAGACGCGTGTAGATGGGCCCCAGCTGGCTCAGCTCGAAGAGGGCGCCGCCGTGCTCCGCGGACTTGAACTCGAAGCTCGTGGACTGGAAGATGGGCGGCGCGCGCGCGCGGTTGTCGCTGTCGAGCTTGTGGCCGTGGTGGAGCATGGTCGTCGTGAAGCCCTCGCCGGCGACGTAGCCGTAGGGGCCGACCTTCTCCTTGAGCTTGTCGGCGGACATGGTGGAGCGGTGCTGGCGGCGAGGGGCTGCCGGCGCGTGCAGGCGTTCGAATCGGCGGCGCTGGCTGCGGGTGCGCGGCAACACGAGTCGCAGGTCGGAAGCCGACAAGGCTTCTGGATCTTCCGCGATGGGCTGCTCGTGCACTTTACATCAACGGTGCCGTCAAGGTGATGATTGTAAAATATAGACATGGCTGCGCTCGAGCCCATTCCAGGCCGCATAGTGCTGCACTATTTCGCCCTGCGCGGCCGCGGCGAGGTCGCCCGGCTGATGCTCGAAGACCAAGCGGTCACCTACGAACAGAAGCTCGTCGGCGGCGGGCGCCTCATGAATCCTGGCGCCATCAGCATTCACGACTACGACGCGCTGAAGGCCGACGCCTCCTTCGCCGGGCCGCTCGGCTATCTTCCCGTGCTCCGCTGGGGCGAACTCGAGGAAATCAACGAGGCGATGGCCATCAACCAATTCCTCGGGAAGAAGCTCGGCCTGTGGCCGCGGGCCGGCGGCGACGAGGACCGGGCGCACGTCGAGGCGCGCGCGGCGGCGCTGGCCATGGGCGCCTACTCCATGATCAGCGAGAAGATCTACGCCGACATCTTCAACCCGCCGCTCTTCCTGAAGCTGTCGCCGAGCATGCGCACGACCGCGGCTTTCGTTTTGGACCGCCTCGAGGCCGCGCTCGGCGAGAAGCGCTGGTTCGTCGGCGACGTCTGCGACGCCGTCGCCGCCGCGGACGCGGCGGCCGAGGCGGCCGCGGCGGACGTCGAGGCGCGGTGCTTCGTCGAGGGCGGCGCACGAGCTCGAGGTCGTTCCCCCCCAGCCGCCCGCGGAGCCGGAGCCGCCCGCGGAGCCGGAGCCGCCGGTACACGACGAGCTCCCGGCGCCGCCGGAGCACGACGAGCTCCCGGCGCCCATCCCCGAGCTGCCGGAGCCCGCGGAGCACGACGAGCTTCCGGCGCCCATCCCCGAGCTCCCGGTGCCGCCAGAGCACGACGAGCTCCCGGAGCCCGTCCCCGAGCTCCCGGAGCCCGAGCCGCCGGAGGCCGAGCCCGTCGAATCGCCCGCGGCGCCCGCGGAGGAGCCCCCCGTCGTCCTCGTGCGCCCGCCGGCGGAGCCCGCCGAGGAGCTCGACGACCACGCCGCGAACCACCCCGGCGAGTTCGACGGCCACGACATCCACGCGATCGTCGGCGCCATGCACGACTACCACCGCGCCAAGGGCGACGCGCCGGGCGAGGACGCGGACCCGCCGCCGCCCGCGGCCTTTGCGCACGAGCCGTCGCTCGACGCGCGCGTCGCCGCGGCCGCGGAGCTGCCGGGCGTCGCGTTCGCGGAGCGCGGCGCGGCGCCCGCGGTCCTCGCCGCGCCGGCGGCGGCGGAGGAGCCCGCGGCCGCCGCGGCGTCGGCGCGCTTCGACGCGCTGCAGGAGCCCGCGGAGCCCGCGCACGATCCCTTCGCCACGGACGAGCCCCCGGCCTTCGAGGCGGAGGCGGCGGAGGACCCCGCGCCGCCCGCGGACCCCGCGCCGGCCGAGGACCCCGCGCCGGCGGAGGACCCCGCGCCGGCGGAGGCGGACGCCGCCCCGGCGGCCGCGGAGGCCGCGCCCGCGCTCCAGGACTGGTCGCGCGCCGCGCCCGCGGCGCGGCCCGACGCCCCCGCGCCCGACGCCGCGCCGCCGGAGGAGAGCTACCGCGACGTGCTCGCTCGGAAGCACGCGGCGCGCCACGAGGCCGCGACGTCGCCGCTGGGCCTCGCGTACCTCGAGCCGGCGAAGCTCGTCGCGGGCCTCGCCCTCGCCTGCTTCCTCCTCTGCGGCTGCCGCCTCTGCTACCGCCGGCGCCGCAAAGCCGCCGCGCCGCCGCCGCCCGCGCCGTCGCCGAAGCCGCGGAAGCCGCCGCCGCGGCGCGGCCGCGGCGCCGCGCCCGTCGCGGTCGCGAAGAAGGTGCCGATGGTCGCCGGCGACCTCGACGACGACTGGGACGACCTCGAGGGCGGCGACGCGTCGCCGCCGCCGCGGCCGGCGGCCGCGAAGCCGGCCCGGTCGCGGTCGACGACGCCGCGGCCCGCGTCGCCGCCGCCCGCGTCGCCGCCGAAGAAGTACGCGTCCAAGGTCGAGGAGATCTTGGACGACGACGTCTGGGGCGCCGACGGCCTCGACGACATCCTCAACGACTGCTGGGACGCCGAGGACGGCCTCGCGCCGGCGACGCCCGCGAAGTCGCCCTACGAGAAGGTCGCGCGGTCCGCGAGCCTCAGCGCGCCGCCGGCGCCGCCGCGGTCGACGACGCCCCTCCCGCCGGCGACGGGGCCGCGCCGCGCCGTCTCCTCCGCGAGCTCCTACCACGACGAGTCCGACGACGACTTCTTCGCGAGCCTCGGCATGGCCGCGAAGCCCAAATTCAAGCGCTAGCGCCGCAATCCCGCTCCTTTAACCTCTGCACCGCCAGGCCTTGTCAAGCATCTCAAATCCAAAGCAGTTTCGCGCGCGACGATGTCGACGTGGAGCGAGTACTTTGGTTATGCTAAACCTGTGGGCTCGATTTGCTCTCCGAGGCTTCACTAATGCATTACGTTACGTACGGACTAGCCCGAATCCTAGTATTCCTACGTTTCTCGAAAAAAACGGAGGTGTTTCTTTTGCCGCGGGAAATCCCATTTCATCCAGCCGCTAGGCAAATAAGATTGAGTTTGACCATGGCAGGAAACTCCATACTTCGCGATTAACGTGACCAATTTCTGGATGCAACATTTTTTGCTCGCTTTAGATTTGCCCGAATTGAACACAAGCACGTCCTTGATCATCGCTGTCTTGAACTCATCTTCGTATGCCCCTTCGAGCGCCGGGATGGACATCCGCGCGCCGGTCGCGACGAGGCCCGCGACGCGGCGGACGAAGTCGTCCGCGGTCAGTTCCGCGGCGCGGCCAGCAGGATTGAGTTTCCGCTTGGTAGCTGCGGCTGCAGCACGTAGACCAGGCTTAGTAGACGGTTCACTGACGGCCGCGGCGTTACCCAGGGGCGACTTCGGCGGAACGTAAAGCACGATGTCGTGCGGAACGACCGCGACGCCGTTCACGAACTCGACCGAAATCTCCATCTCGTTCGGCCCTGCGCCGCGGTGGCGCACGGGCTCTCCGAGGCCGAGGCGATGCATGACTTCCGCGTGCGCCACGGTCACGCCCCGATCGACCTCGAACGCCTTGGTGATCGGGTCTTTCATGGAGCGTCCCAGAGACCGAAGCAAGACTACCTTCTTCAGCAGCTGGCAGCTGACGATCAACTGCGCAATCTCTGGGCGGCTGAGAATTTCGAGTAGCGACGTCATTCGCGGGCACGCGCGCGTTCAGCGGGACTCGCGGACGACCCGAGAGGAGCCGAATGCGATTCCTTTGTGGAGGAACCTGTTCAGCGATTCATGGCCCCGCTCGCCGCGCGCGCGGCGAGATCCACGCCGCGGACGACGTGGTCGAGGCGACGTAACGTGTGCGTCGACGCCGTCGTCTGCGTCCGGCCACGGACGGCGCGAGCGGGGCGACGCACGGCGTCGCCGCGGCGGCGCCGAACCGGACGCTTCCGCTGTCACTGGCCCGCGGCGAGACGTCGCCCGCCGCCGCGGCTCCGCGCGCGGGGCCGCACGACCTCGTTCGTGGCGCCGGGCTCGCGGCGCCGCGACGCGCCCGTCGCCGCGGACGAGGCGCTCGAGGCTCCCGAACGACGTCGCGGCGCCGAACCGGCGCGTTTCCGCCGCGGCGCGCGGCGAGACGTCGATCGCCCGGCGCCGCGGCTCCCCGCGGGGCCCCAGACGTCGTTGGCGCCGCCCGCGCTCGCGGGCCGCGACGCGACCCACGCCACGGACGCCCGGTGCGCGACGAACGACGTCGCGGCGCCGAACCGGCGCGTTCCGCCGCGGCGCGCGGCGAGACGTCGATCGCCCGGCGCCGCGGCTCCCCGCGGGGCCCCAGACGTCGTTGGCGCCGCCCGCGCTCGCGGGCCGCGACGCGACCCACGCCACGGACGCCCGGTGCGCGACGAACGACGTCGCGGCGCCGAACCGGCGACGGCACCGGGTCTGGCACGCGTGGCGACCTCACCTCCGCTGGGAGGTATAGCAGCGGGATACTAGGTCTTATCATCCTAGGCTTCGTCCGACCCGCGGTTCTCCTTGCACGTGCGCGAGATCGGCGCCCGCGACGGTGCCGAGAATCTAACCCCCCCAAACCATCCGGTGACGAAGGCTTGCGTCGGCAGCGGCTTCGCGCGCTCGCGCGTCTCCTTGACATCGTCTAGGTCCTCGCCTCGCTGCTCTTGCCACAGCTGCGCGGCGTCCTTCGCTTCGCGCCGCCCTGCAATCCATATATTGGTGAGATAATCGGCCGTCACGTGCGGCTGCGACACGCGGTGGATCTTGGTCTTGTACGTAACGCGCAGCGCCTCCGCCGTCTCCGCAAAGTTCTCGTGCCGCTTGTCCCAGGGAAGTAATGCGCCGTCCGTGTAGCGCGCGTAGTCGAAGTTCGCCGGCGGCTCCTCGTCCTCCTCGAGCCAGGCCCCCGTAGCGACGTCGCGGCAGCTGACGCGGTTCGCGAAGAGGCCGTCGACGAGCGGCTGCATGGCGTCCGCCGTCGGCGGAATCTGCTCCAGGACCTCCTTGATCTTCCCCTCCTGCCACTTCTCGCGGTCGTCCGGAGAGGCGCCGCCCGCGTGGCCGAAGATGAGCTGCCGGTCGACGGCCGTCTTGAACAAGTCGTTGTCGACGGCGGGGGAGGGGAAGTCGAGGTTGATCTTGGAGACCGAGGACTCGCCCTCGGCGATCCGGAAGCCCCGGAGCTCCACCGTGAACTTGCCCGGCTCGCTCGTGACCTTGAGGTCGCTCTCTCCGTACCTCGCGAGCGACCCCGCGAGCTCCGCGACGCCCGAGAGCACGCCCGCGGCCTTGCAGTTCGACTCGCTGTAGGCGGGCATCTTGATGACGAGGGGGATCATCTTGGCGAAGTCGAAGAGGTTGACACGAGGGAACGGGAATTTCAATTCCATGGCCCCGGCGGCGACGAGGCCGCAGATGTTGACGCCGTCGTGGAAGCCGAGGTCGTCGACGGCGCGGGGCAGGAAGAAGAGGAGGCCCTCGAACTGCGGGCCGCCCTTGGCGTCGCGGCCGAGGGGGCAGACGAACAGGTGCGGGTAGTCGAGCGTGTCGGCCATCGTCGCATGCGGCTGCAACACCTTGATGAGGAGGCAGTGCTTGATGAAGTCGTCGCTGCACATGAGCGCCGTGCGCCCGACGAGGAGCGCCCGCTGCGCGTCGCCGCTGAGGTTGTGCTCCGCGGACTTGCCCCTGTTCCTGCAATTGAACAGGCGCGTGTACTCCGGGACCAGCGCCAGGTGCATGTAGTAGCCTAACTCTACCTGGCGCAGCGTGATCAGGTTCTTGTCGTACTCGTCCTCGATCTCGAAGCTGGGGCCGCCGTGCGCCCGGCCCTCGTCGATGCGGCGCAGGATGTAGTCGTAGAAGTGGTGGCGGCCGAACCCGTGCCACCCGATCCACACCCAGCCGACGACGTAGGGTCCGCAGCGCGTCTCGCCGCGAAGACGCTCCCAGCCCGGCTCGCCGTCGACGGTCTGCGCGGCCACCCACTTCAGCGTGATCAAATTGTGGCACGGTATGCTGCCGAGGCAGTAGCGCCCGGCGTTGACGGTCAGAAGCCAGAGCGGGTAGTGTATCGTGATGTTGTGTGTGTTCCCACGCACAAGGGGCTGGAGAGGGTCCACTACCCGGATTTTATCCTCCAGCGGCGCGACGCGCGACCCGCCGAACCGGAGCATCAGCAAGTCCACTCTAACAGGCTCCCGCCATCGAGAGGAGGTCTTTTACCGCTGCAAGCTGACTTCACTCAAACAAGGTTCAGTGACATCCACGTGATTAACAGAGATGGGCAGCCGCTGAAGAGCGATGCGCGTGTCCGCGCTCGAGCAGGCCGTGCAGCCCGGGGGCCGCTCGCCGGCCGAGGCCATGCCCGCGCCCTCGGCGCTCGAGGACAGAGGCCTCGCGTACCGCAACGTCCACGACGCCGAGGACGCGGCCGTAATCCCGGCGGAACGCGCGTCGCCGCGTCCCGCGACGAGACACTTCAACCACGCGGGCTCGCTACGCTGCCGCCACGCGGTTTTCCTGGCACGGCGGCCTGTCTTTACATCGGCAAGACGGCCGTCGGCGTCGCCTGCCCTGTTCCCGAATTCGGGAGCCCGTGCGGCGGAAACCCGTCCAGGAAGTCCCAGGAGCGCGCCGACGCGCCGCGCGACGAGAGGCTCGCGACGCCCGCCCGGAAACCGCTCGATCGTTCGACGCGACGGCGCGCCTCGAACGCGACGTCTCAAAAACTCGTAGGTCGCCGAACGCGGTACCGGCCACGTCGCGTTCCTCTACCGGGTCGACTCCGCGGCCGGCCACGACGCGATCCCGAGCTCCTCGGCGTCGACGGGGGAAACGGGTCCGCGTCGCAGCCTTCCGGGGCTTGACCGTCGGGCCCGCCCGTCGACTCGGAGACGCTCGAGTTCGACGCTCGAAGCAGCGCGGCGGCTCCTCGCCGTCGAAGACGACGTCGCCGCCGATGACGACACGCACGACGCGCCGCTCGAGACCGTCGACGTCGGCGGCGACAACGGCACGCGGTGCTCCTGGAGGCGTGCTCGACGCCCGAGGCGCAGATCGTCGCTCCCGTGCTCGCGCTCGCGGGGCTGCGGTGCGCCTCCTTCGCGTTCCCCTTGTTCGACGGCTCCGTGATGGGGCTCTTCCGCGCCACGGAGAAGGAGTTCTTCGCGAACTACGCCAAGGGCAAGGGCCGGGAGTACGCGGACTGGGAGAATCGCAAGTACCCGAAGGGCTTCAGCATGCAGCCCGAGCTGCTGCGCTTGCGCGCGGGCGAGCTCGTCGTGCTTGGCGTTCCGCTCCGCTCATCGTTCCAGAGACGCTTCCTCTACGCGGACTTCGTCGTCTTCGACGCGCTGGACGTCTACGCCGAGGTCTACGGCGCGCGCGCCGCGTTTCGCGGCCGGCCCGGCCTCGCGCGCTTCCGGGACGCCGTCGCCGCGCGGCCGAACGTCGCCGCGTACCTGCGCTCCGACCGGCGCTACAGGTACATCACGGTCCTCCAGCCCTACTTCCTCCTCCGCCACCTCGCCGCCTGTCGCGTCGCCCTCGCTGCGGCGGTGGTCGCGGCGCTGTATCGATGGTGTATTTTGTAAGTTCACAGGTCGTAACTTGAAGTGGATACCCTGGTCCGGAATGAAACACAAACTTTGAAGAAATCCTAGCGTCTAGAGGACTAGAGACAGCGTCTCTGGCAGAGACTCTGCATGCAACGTTTTGTCGCTCCGCGACGCCCGGCCGAGCCGCCGCCAGCTAACTTGCCAGCTCCTTTCACGCGCTCCTTTACGCACGCGCCGCGCCGCCTAGGGCGCGGCGACGGACGTCGCGAGGATGAGGCGCTCGATCTCGTCGTACTGGAAGTTGGGGAGGTCGAAGGTGATGGCCGCGAGGAACGCGGGCGCGGGCGCGAAGGCGCGCGCGGCCGCGTCCGCGGGCGCGTGGCGGCGGGCCCAGATGGCCGCGCCGCACTGGAGGAGCTCGAGGAGCCGGTTCGCGACGTCGGACCGCGTCCCACTGGGCACGGCGGCCAGCAGCTTCGCCGGGTCCCCGGGGAGGTCCGGGTCGAGCGTCGCGCGCGCCAATAGGAGCTGGCGGAGCCGCGCCATCCAGCGGAGGAGGTCCACGGCGACGTGGAGCTCGTCGAGCACGCGCCGGAGCCGCGCGTGCGCCGTGTCCGCGTCGTCGCGGAGCCGCCGGCGCCGCGCGCCGGGCGTGGCGCCGTCGTCGTCGTCGCCGTCGTGTTCGTCGCCGTCGCCGTCGCCGTCGTCCTCGTCGACGACGCGGTCGAGGTTGAAGAAGAAGCCGAGCTCGTCGTGGTGCCACTTCCACACGGCCGTCGGGTCCAAGTCGCCGTCCTCGCCGTAGGGCGCCTTGAGCAGCTCGCTGAGGCGCCGGTGGTGCGCCCGCAGGTCCGCCGCGCGCGACCCGTCGCCCGACGCGGCCAGGTCCGCCTCCCGCGCGAGCCGCGCGACGAAGGCCTCGGCGACGTCCCGCGCGGACGTTCCCGCGGGCGCCGCGGCGACGGGCGGCCAGAGCGCGGCCTCGTCGTCGAGGACCGTCGCGGGCGTCGGCCTCGGGCCGTCGGGCTCCTGCGCCGGCGCGTGGAAGTGGTCGCCGCGCTGGCACTCCGCGAGGAGGCTCCGGCCGCGGCCGTCGGACTTGGGGTCCCTGCGCTCGGACCGGCCGCAGACGACGGCCGCCGCGGCCGAGGTGAGGCGCCGCTGCTGCGTCGACTGCGTGTCCGCGACGTTCGACGCGTCGCCCGACGTGTCGCGCCGCGGCGGGTCGAGGCGCCAGAGGTGCGCGGCCGTCAACGCCTCGAGCTCCGCCTGCGAGAGCGACCGGCCGCCGCCCGCGCTCGGCGCGTCCGCGCCCGCGTCCGCGCGCCACGCCAACCCCGCCCCGATCAACGCCGTCGCGTCCGCCAACGGCTTCGGGAAGCAGGCGTTCGGGCTCTGCGTCGGCGCGGCCATCACGACCACCCCGCCGCACCGCTCCGCGCGGCACGCGCGCGCCGCCGCGACCAGCGACGCGACGAGCGGCGCCTGGCGCAGCGCCGCGGGCCGCTCGCCGTCGGCGCCGCCGCAGACGAGGGCGTCCGCGGCGTTGGCCCGCTTCCGCGCGAGCTTCGCGCCGCCCGTCGGGTCGCCGTCGGCCGTGTCGAGGACCGCCGCGAGGCTCAGGGGCCGCGCGCCGTACTCGCGCGTCGCGGCCTCGAGCACGGCGGCGGCCTCGGCCTCGGCGGCCTCCGACGCGCCCCAGACCCAGAGCACGGCGCAGTCCGTCGCCGCGGGCAGCGCCGCGGCCGCCGCGCGGAGGTGCGCGCGCGCGTCGTCGTCGCCGACGCGCGCCTCGAAGCGCACGCAGCACTCCCTCGACCCGAAGCGGCGGCACGCGGCCACCAGGTCCGCGACGCAGGCCGCGGCGTCGCCGCCCGGCGCGACGACGACCGTCGGGATGCAGGCGACGTGGCGCGCGGCGCAGCGCGCGGCGAGCGCGCCGCACGCGGGCGTCGACGTCCCGTCGGGTCGGAGCGCGGGGTCGGGCTCGCAGTCGACGTAGCCGTCGCCGCCGTCGGCGCTGTGCCAGGGGAAGGGCGCGGGCTCCGGGACCGCGGGCGCCCGGGGCGGCGGCGCGGCGCGGAAGCGGCGGCCGAAGAAGCCCCGCGTGTCCTCCCCGGCGTCGGCGTCGCCCGCGACGGGACCGCCCGCCGCGCGCGCGGCGTCGCCGTCGAACGCGTCCATGCCCGCGCCGTCGCAGAGCACGAAGAGCGCGTTGAGGCGCCAGGACGCGAGGCGCCGCGCGTCGTCGTCGACCTGCGCGGCCCGCGGCGCGGCGGCGCCGCGGACGTCGACGAGGCCCGCGCGGACGGAGGCGTCGGGCCCGTCGTCGATGGCCAGCGCGGGCAGCTTGAAGACCGTCGACGACCCGCCGGCCTCCGTCGCGCAGGACGCGTGGAAGCGCAGGAGCTGCGCGAGCGTCGACGCGCCGTGCTTGAGCCCCGCGGCGTCCGCGCCGACGACGGCGGCCGCGCCGCGCGCGACGAGGATCCGGTAACTCTCGGGCCCGCCCGTGGACCGCGCGCAGAGCCGGAAGCTCACGTCGTGGGGCTCGCCCAGCGGGCCCACGACGACGGCGAAGCGCGCGCCGATCTCCACCCGTAAAGTGCGGAGCGCGGACGCGTACGCCGCCTCGGCGGTGTCCGGATCTTCGACGCCGACGACGATCGACGGCCCGCCGAGCCTCAGGTCCGGCGCGCCCCGCAGCAGGCGGCAGCGCCGCGGCGGCGGCCAGACGAGGGGCGCGCGGCACCGCGCGGCGCCGTCGGCGCCCTCCGCGGGCCGCGGCGCCGCGGCCGGCGCCGCGGCCGGCGCCGCGGCCGCCTTCTTCGGCGGCGGCTCGGGCGCGGCGCAGGCCGCCTGGACGTCCGGCTTCGTCGCGAGGTCGCAGGCGCGCTTGCCCGCGTTCGTGCCCTCGGCGACGGCGAGGGCGACGTCCGCGCCCGCGGCGACGAGCTTCTCGACGCACTCCCCGTGGTTGGCCTTCGCGGCCTCGTGGAGCGGCGTGACGCCGTCGTCGTTGAGCGCGTCCGCGGCGACGCCGGCGGCCAACAACGCCTCGAGGGGCGCGACCTGGCCGAAGGACGCGGCCCAGTGGAGCGGGCCGTCGCCGCCGAAGGGCGCGCAGTCGCTGAGGAGCGGCGACGGTCCGAGGAGCGCGAGGCACTTCTCGACGCGCGACACGTCGCCGAGCGCGACCTGCTGCATGAGCTCCGCGTGCGCCGCCGCGCGGCAGGGCGTGCCGTCCCTGAGCCAGGCCGCCGGCGCGGCCACGGGCGGGTACGCGCCCACCCTCAGCAGCGCGCGCACGGCGTCGACCTTGCCGTGGTCGCACGCGACCTGCAGGAGGTGCGCGCCCGCGTCGTTCGTCGCGTCGCCGAGGACGCGGCCCAGGTCGACGGGGTCGCCGGGCGCCTCGAGCTTCTCCTGGAGCGACTTCGCCGCCGACGCGACGATGTCCGCGCGGCCGTACTCCGCCGCCGCGAAGAGTACGCGCAACTCCTCCGGCGGGCCCGGCTCCTCCTTCGTCTCCTCGTCGCTTAACGGCTCCTCCGACTCGCTGTCGGACATGGTCGGCGGCGGCGCGGTGGTGCGCTCGCTGTCGTCGCGGCGCCAACAGCGGAGTGCGATCGCGGCGCGGAGATGCGGCGCGGGCTCCAGGTGGAGGCAATCTTGCTGCGCAAGTGCACCCAGGATGCCACAATCGATTGGCTGCCCCGGACCCACGATGGCCGCGTCTACGACTGGTTCTCGGCTGCCCGCACCCACGATGGCCGCGTCTCGCGTCGTGCTCGTCGCGCTCGCCGCACGGCCGGCGCTCGCCGCCGTCGCCGGCGGCTACCCGAGCGGCCCGTCGCGCGTCGCGCCGGCGATCGTGGGCAACTGGGGCGATGCCTGGACCGTGCTCTGGCCCTTCTTCGCCGTCTGGCTGGGCACGGCGCTCGCCGTCGCGTATTACGCGCTCGGCAAGGCCCTGCGGGCGCGGCAGAAGCCGCTCTCGAAGACGCCGGTCAAGGCGCGCCGGTCGTCGACGGTGACCGTCGCCCCGCCGCAGGAGAACTTTAGCACCGCGCAGGACGTCGCGGGCGCGACGCGGCGCAAGAGCGCGTCCTCCGTGGACCTCGAGGGCGTCGAGCTCTCGCCGACGCGGAACCCCGTCCTGGACGACGCGGTCGACGACGAGGCGCCGGCCGCCGCGCCGGAGAAGATCGAGATGCGCGGGCTCCGGGAGACCAAGGCCGGCACGGCGGCCTACGTTATGTGCCTCGCGACGACGGCGTCGCTCTTCGCGCTCGTGATCCTCTGCATCGTCGACTACTACGTGGACTGCCAGATGAAGGGCATCGACAACTTGTGCTTTTACGGCAAGTACCCCATCTTCGGCAACTACGCCGAGAATTCGCGCGTCTTCTTCGCGGCGTGGTTCGCGCTGAACGTCTGGCTCGCGGTCGCCTTCTTCTTCAAGAACGACCTGCGCGACTTCTTCCGCGAGCCCTGCGCGCTCGACGACGCCAAGCTCGTACGGGTCTGGATCGCGGACGAGGAGGAGCAGCTCAACGCGGAGTCGTCGGCGCTCGTCCGCGGCGCGCGCGCGGTCCAGAATTGGCTCCAGGGCGACGCGCCGCCGGGCCACGGCGCGACGGTGCCCGTGCTCGCGCTCGAGGCGGCGGAGGCGGCGCTCGCGGACCCGTCGGACCTCGCGGAGTGCGGCGTGAACCTGACCTGCGACGGGTCCTGCGGTCTAGGCGTGGGGCTCAAGCTCTCCCTCAAGGGGACCTACGAGCGCGTCACCCGGGCCTGCGAGGACCACTTCGCCGGTCCCCCCGCGGGCCGCAAGTACGTCGTCGTCGAGGCGACGCGCTACGTCTTCGACGGGTCCCGCTTCGAGCGGGCGCGCGTCGACGTGCCCACGCGCTTCCAGGGCCTCGACGCGCTCCTCCAGCGCGGCGGTTTGACGCCGTCGGAGGCCGCGGACCGGCTCGTCTACGGCGGGCCCAACGCCATCGCGTTCCGCGTCGACACGTGGCTCGAGAGCCTCACGAACGAGTTCGTCAGCGTTTACTATTTGTACCAATTGGCGTCCTACCTCGTCTGGTTCTGGTTCTCCTACCTCGTCGTCGGCTGCCTCCTCGGCTCCGTGGTCATCGCGTCCGCGGCGCTCAACATCGCCATCGCGAGAGCCAACCAGCGGACCATCGCGGAGCTGACGAAATCCGTCGGCGACGTCGACGTCGTCCGCGACGAAGCTCGCCGGCGCGAACAGCTGGTGGTTTTTAGGGGACAACTGGGAGTCGACGGTCGTCTTCGTCGTCGTCGCGTTCCAATACCTGTCGTCGTCCGCGATCTTCTCGCTGGGCAGCAAGTACCGCCAGCCCATCTGGGAGAACAAAACGATCGTCGCCATGTGGGTCGGCTTCGCGGCCTTCCTCACCTTCCTGCTCCTCTCGCCGCAGAACGCCGTCACGGAGCTCTTCCACATCGCGTCGCAGCCCTTCAACGAGGAGGGCACGGCGTCGCCCGTGTGGGAGGACTACCAAGAGAAGAAGGCGTCCCGGCGCCTCGAGGACGCGACGCTCGCGCCGACGCCGCCGCCGGGCGACGCCGCGACGTCGCCGGGCATGTCCTTCGGCCTGCGCTTCGAGCTCTTCGCCCTCGTGTTCCTCGGGCTCGCCGTGAATCTGGCCTTCGAGAAGGTCGTCATCCAGGGGCCCGTGAACGTGTGGTGCCGCAAGTTCTTCAGCTACGACGACCGCGTGCCGCCGCGCCTCTGAGAGAGGCGGCGATGCAGAGACGCCGAAGGAGAACGGCCCCAGGGTTAGGAGTAGAGGTAGGAACGGGGACACCCACCTGCGGGCCGTATATGCCCCGCTCGGAGAGCGGTTCCAAGAGGTCCTTGGACCGAGCGCAGCGCTCTGGAGCCTCTCTGGCCCAGGGCTTGGCCATGTCTTGGCCCCGGGGGGGTCCGCAGGCGGGGGCAGGCGTTCCTCGCTCTCGTGACGCAAGCGTGCGCAAGCCCTCCGCGCCGCGCGCACGCCGTTCGAGCTAAGGCACCGCTGTGATGGGCGCGTCGCTATCGGGCTTCGTAGCCAAGGCGCCGGCGCCGCCCGCCGAAGCGCCGCCGGCGACGAAGCGGCCGCGCCCCGCCTCGGGGAAGGATGCGTCCTTCACCCGCGTCCTCGAGGCAGAGAACAACGTGACCACGATCCTGGCCTTCGCCGGCTACCGCACCGTGCTCACGCTCGAGACGCTCTGCCCGCGCGCGCGGCGCGTCGTTCGCGGCGCGCGCGTCGAATTGGACGTGTCGCAAGAGACCGACCTCACGCTCGCCACCATGATCGCCATGCGCGGCGAGCTCTTCGAGGCGCGGCGCGCGGGCGTCTTCAAGGACGTCGAATACACGTTCGAGTTCAACTACGACGACTGGAGCCACCGCGCGGCCGACGTCGTCTACCGCGGCGACCGCCCGCTGCTGCTGTCGCCGCCGCCGCGCGGCGCGGCCGTCGACGGGCTTCGTGGCGGCGCGGACTGCGACAAGGCGCGGTCGGCGTGCGCGGTCGCGGCCGTGGACCGCCGCCGCGCGGCCCTCCTGTCGATCGGCTTCGTGTCGGTCGAGCTCGGCACCAAGAGCGGCGACGGCGGGCGTGGCGTCGGTGCGATGTGCAGTCTCGCGCATCGACATCTTTCCCAACCTATTGAGACTCGGTACCGGCGCGACAAACAGGCCGTACCGGCGGAGCTTCTGGATGCGATGGGTGGCATCCATTGCCCGCGACGCCTCGTGGAAGCGGCCGAGCGCCGCGAGGCCCCGCTTCAGGAGGAGGACCACGCCACGCGGGTGCATCTGGACCGAGCGATCCGGCAGGCCGCGCGTGCTTCCGTGGTCCTGGACGAGCCCTCGCTCCGACGGATTCTGGTGCTTACCTGGAAATACATGTCTGAGAACGGCTGGCCGGCTCTCTCCGAAGCCGTTTTCGAGCAGGAGGTCTGCGGACCGGCGGGTGTCGGCGCGACCGCCGCGGTCTGGGAGGAGGTGAGGACTGGGGTGCTCCTGCCGCTCACGGCCGTGTACACGCCCGTGGGATCGACCTCGCAGCGAGCCGAGGGCGATGTTCGATGCGGGGACGTCGTTCGCGTCGCATGCTACCACTGGTTTTGGCCAGCAATATCGGCTTTTGCCCTGACTTCACTCGCGCGCGACGCTGCGCTCTGCTTCAGCCAGACGCACTCCGTTGCGGCGTCGACCTTTGAAACCTTTGTGATCCGACAAGAGAACAAGAACTTCAAGAATAGCAACGGAGTTTGGTCCGCCGCGCTCGCCGTCCTTGACGATCTGGCGACTCGGCGTGACGGTGAGCCGTCCGACGAGGCCGGCAAGCAGCGCTGGCAAGCAGCGATCCAGCCTCTCCTCGGCGCCGAGCGCCTTCACACGCTCGCCGTGAACGACGAGGTTGAGTTCGCCGTCGGCGACCCGGACGGGATCCCCGTCGAAGACGATCTCGAGTGGACCCGCGGGACAATCGTCCGCATCGTCAAGCACAAAGCGGTCGTCCGCGTCGGCGAGGACGAGCGCGAGGTCTACTTCGGTCAACTACGTCTCGTCGAGGAGCGCCCGTGCCCCGCGGTCGTCCTGTTGGCGCACGCCGTCGCGGACCACCGCAACGGCCTCGTTCGCATGCTCATGAACTCCGAGCGCATGTCGCTCCCTCTGTCTTACGTCGTCGGCGAGCCCGGCAAAGCCATCTCCGTTCGGACGGACAAGCGTTGCACGGCTTTGGACCACGCGATCGTCTCGAAGAACTTTGTCGCTATCGGGATGTTTTGGGCTGCGTACGCGGAACCTGCCCCCGAGGACTACGGCGGCGCGTGGCGCGCTGTTCTAGCTACTTCCCGCTCTCTCGTCAAGGCCCTAGATCGTGATGCCGATTGGTCTCCGACCGAACAAGTGAGCTTCAAATGTGCGCTTCGTGCTGCTCCAGGCCCTTACCGTGAGCACCTCAACGCGTGGCGCGCCTTCGAAGTTCAGACACGGAATGCTGAGAATATATTAGGGGATGCTGCAAAGTCGACTGTGCGCGCGTCAACACTCGCTGTCATCAACGACGACATCGATGGCGTGCGTAGAATGCTGGGTCGTTGCTTATATGCTGTGGGCCGCGCTCACATGATCTCAAGGCCGTGGCAGGTGATTTCTTTGCTCTGGCGCACGGGTCCGACAGCACCGTCTGATCCGCGCGACTCGGCGTTAGCTGCATACGAGATCACTCTTCGAGTCATGCTGATGTGGGCATGCAAATGCGGCCGCCTCGAAATTCTTCGAGAAATCTTGCGTCCACCGATACCCTTTCCTTTGAAAAACACATGGATGATGGCGCTCATTAGCATCGCGGAAGGTCACACGCGCTGCCTCGAACTCCTCCTGTCATCCAGCACTTCGCGTCAAGGCATTCTGTCGTGCTTCGCCCCCGATGCGCCGTCCGTACTTCGACAGCACGGAGAGCAGATCGTACTACAAGCGGTCGACTTTGGCGACAGCGCGGCCATTGACTCGCTTCGGCTCGCGGGCGTACCGTTGGTGTTCCACGACACGACGAATGTTATTTTTCATCCCTTAGAAGACGCATGTCGCTTGGGACAGCCAGAATCTGTCAGGGCCAGTGTCTCGCCTACGTAGCCTCGTCCGGAGCCTACGAACCTATGACCTACGCGCCCTCGCAGGTCCGCGCCCTGCTACGCGATCCACAGGTGTGCGCGTCAGTTCAAGAACGACGCTCGGAGTGTTTTCACTTCGCTGCAGACAATGGTAACGCGGCCTGCCTGGCCGTGCTTTTTGAAAAGTTCACTATTGCGCAAGCAAAAACTAACCCCCATGAAGTCTTTGGAACGAGCCCGATCCTCACTCTAGCGGCGGCTAGCAACGACTTGGCAACGGTCCAGATTTTGCTGGGTCAGCCAGGAATTGACGTCGATGAGAGACCTCCTGGGCTGAAGAGCGCGTTGAGTGTGGCGGGTTCGAACCTGAACTATCTCATCGCTTCCGCGCTTCTTGCGCGAGGCGCGGTCGACGGTCTTCCGAAACCCTCGCGGGATTTTGATGATGTCCTTGACTACGCCTTAGACTCGAAGAAACGTGGGTGTGTGAGCTTCGTGCGTCTTATCTTACGCGAAAGGCAGCGATTTACGCTGGACCTCATCGGCTACGTCAAACGGCACTGGGTGCGCGACGGCCCTCTGGCAGCTTTCCTCGACGACGATGCGAACTTAGTATCGCAGCCTGATGATAAAGGATTGACGCCGCTCCACATTTACGTTTACCATGCCACTATTGGAAACAAGTCATTCAGCAAAAAATTCCGCATGTTTGAATGCATTGAGCTTCTCATCGTTCGCGGCGCTGATCTCGACGCGAAAACGACCTCGTCTATTACGACAGATTCAGAAGACTATCTTTTTTGCGGCGCCAATCACCCCGTCCAATCTGGCATGACTCCGATGGATATTGCACGCGACTGTGGTGTCGCAGATCGACGGCCAACAGTCATCGCCGCCGTCGAGGCTGCCGTCAAAAAGCGCGATGCGGCGCCCACCATGACGTAACGCTACAAGTACTAACCCGAAGCTAGCTAGGTAGTAAAACATTACGTAAGCTTGGGCGCGCCCCCGAGCGACGAGAGGCCCGGGCCCGCGTCGCCCTCGTCGTTCTCGTCGCCCTTGCGCTCCTTCTTCTTCGCCTTGGCCTTGGACTTGCGGCGCTCCTTGCGTAGCATGGGGTCCTCCTCCTCCTCCATGGCCTGCTTCTTCTTCTTCTTGCGGCCGTCGTAGAGGAGCATCTCGAAGGCCTCCCAGCCGAAGAACGGCGACGCGCGCGCGTAGGCGACGCGGACCGCGCGCGCGTCCGCGTCCGTGAGCCCGCCGCAGCCCAGGGACACCAAGGCGTCCTTGAGCTGGGGCTGGCTCAGGCGCCGGAGCACCTGGGCCTCCGCGGGCGGCGCGTGGCGCATGCAGAGCTGCGTCCAGAAGTCGCCGTCGGTCTCGCCGCTCTCCTTGCAGGCCTTGACCGCGAGGCGGCTCGCCTTGGCCTTGAGCTTCGACGTCTTCGTCGGGTTCAGCCAGGAGCAGAAGGTGACGTAGTCGATGCGGTCGGGCACGCCCCAGATGGCCTGGACGAGGCCCCAGTCCGCGCCGTCGAGATCTAAATCCCTCGTCTTCTTCGCGACCTTCTCCAGCGTGCTCCGGAACTTCTTCAGCGAGATGTGGCCCTCGGCGTCGGCGTCGTACTTCGCGAAGAGCTGCTCCTCGAGGCGCGTGACGTCGTACTTGGTGGCGGACACGACCGCGCGCACGGACCGCCACAGGGTGCCCAGGCCCTCGCCGCCGGGCACCTGGCCCCGCGCGAAGACCGCGGCGTCCTGGGGCGGCACGGCGCCGTCGCCGTCGATGTCGACGGCCGTGAGGAGCGCTTCCAGGACCGCCGGCGTCGGGTCCTCGAGGCCGCGCTTCTTCACGAGCCGCCGCAAGCCCGCGGCGGACACCTTGCCGTCCTCGGCGTCCGCGAGGCCCGCGAGGGCCGCCTCGAGGTCCTCCATGCCGCCGAGCGCCGCGCGGATGGCCTCGACGGCGCCGTCGATCCGGGCCACCTCCTCCGCGGTCGGCCGCGGGTCCGGCTCGTCGCGCGGGCTCGGCTTCGGCGGCGCGTCCTCGCGCGACTTGCGCCGCTCGCGGCGGCCGCTCTCGGGCCGCGTCTTCGCGCCGCGCGCGGCCGTCGACGGGTCGAACTCCTCGCGCACGGGCTCGGGCTCCTGGGGCTTTTCCTCGGGCTTCTTCTTCTTCGGCTTGTCCGGCTTCTTCAGCGCCCACGGCGACGCGACGTACTCGATCTCCGCGTCCTCCTCGGGCTCGGGCTCGGGCTCGGGCGGCTTGACCTTCTCCGGCTCGACGAAGCGCTTGTTGTGCTTCTTGCCCTTCAAGGGGCGCACGGTCTTCCGCGCGGGCCGGTCGGCGTCGTCGTCGCCGTCGTCCGCGGCCTTGGCGGGCGCGCCGGCCTCGTCCGCCTCCGCCGGCGCGTCGCCCGCGAGGGCCGCCTCGGCGAGGTCGTTGGCGACGCGCTTCGCGACGACGGCGAGGAGCTTCGCGTGGCCGCGGCGGACGTTCGGCAGTGCGAGCGCGTCCTCCTCCGTGAGCGTCGACAGCGCCTCGAGCGTGTCGAAGCCGTCCTCGACGAGCGCCGGCGCGCAGGGCGCGAGCGACGCGTAGCCGTGGGCCGCGAAGTAGTCCACGAGCTTGCCCGCGGCGTTCTTCTCGCGCGGCGCCTCCTTCTTCGGCTTGTGCTCGACCTTCTCCCGCTCCTTGGCCGTGTACTTCATGAGCTGCTTGTACGCCAGGCTCGGCGCCTCGGGCTCCGGCTCGGGCTCCGGCTCGGGCTCGGCCTCGGAGATCTTCGCGGGCTCGACGGGCGCGAGGCGGTCGCCGCGGATCTTCTCGCCCTTGGTCGCCTTGTTGAAGCCCTTGAACTTGAAGGTCTGGAAGCGGCCCCGGGGCGCGCCGACCTCGGCGAAGGGCTCCTTCTCGTGGTCCGGCACGACGATGGGCGCCGGCGCCGCGTCCGCGGCCTCGTGGTCCTCCTCGCCTCTTCGCGGCAGGCGCGGGGCCCGTGTAGACGACGCCCTGGTACTGCGATGCGTTGTTCCGCGACGGTTCCTCGGTCCGTTCTTCGGTCTGCGCCGCCGCGGCGGGCTCGGGCTCGGGCTCGGGCGCGGCTGCGGTCTGCGCCACCGCCGCGGGCTCCGCCGCCGCGGGCTCGTCGAAGTCGGGCTCGTCGTAGGCGTCGTTCTCGTCCTCGTCGTCCGCGTCCTCCGCCGGCGGCGCCTTCGTCGGGGTCGCCTGCGCCGCCGCCTCCGGCTGCTGCTTGGGCTTGGGCGCCGCGGGCTCGGCTGCCGCCTTGGGCGCCGCGGGCTCGGCCGCGGGCTCTTGGGGCGCCGCGGGCTGAGCTGCCGCTGGTTTGATCGCCGCGGGCTGAGCCGCCGCGGGCTGTGGCGCCGCGGGCTTGGCCGCCGCGGGCTGTGGCGTCGCGGGCTTGGCCGCCGCGGGCTGTGGCGCCGCCGGCTCGCTCGCCGCGGGCTTGGTCGCCTCGGGCTTAGCTACCGCGGGCTCCGACGCCGGCTGTTTGGACGCCGCCGGCTTGGTCGCGGAGGGCTCGGGCGCCGGCTTGGCCGCCGCGGGCTCGGGCGCCGGCTGTTTGGGCGCCGGCGGCTTCGCGGGCTCGGGCGCGGGCGTCGTGATCTCGGGCGCCGCGGGCTCGTCGAAGTCTTCCTCGGCCTCCTCGGGCTCCGGCTCCGCCGCCGCCGCCGGCTCGGGCTCCGGGGGCTCGTCGTCCGCGCGCGGGCTGTCGAAGGCCGTCTCGTCCGCGCCGCCGGCCATGAGCGCGTCGTCGTCGGCGTCGTCCGGCGGCGTTTCGGCGGCGGGCGCGTTGTAGACGTTGTTGAAGAGGGCCGCGGCGCCGCCGTTGCGCTTCGCCTCGACGAACTGGGGCACGTCCGGGAGCTTGGGCCGCGCGTCGGGCGCGGGCCGGTTGTCGCCGTCCCAGTCCCAGGGCAGCTCGCCGTCCTCGGGCCAGGGCGCCGACGGCGCGTCCTCGAGCGTCTTCCGCGCGTCCGCGGCGCTGAAGGCGCCGACGGCGCCGAGGAACTCGTCGACGCGCCTCTTGACGTAGGACTCGGACGGCCACGTGCGCCGCGCGATCTTGGAGAAGACGACCTTCGTTCGCGGCCCCGCGTCCGCGTCCGTGACGACGGCGACCTGGACCTCCAGCGCGCCGACGCGATTCTTGTCGCCGCTGTTCGCCGGCGATTCCACGAGCGACACGACGGACGCCGCGCGGACGCCCCACGCGCCCAGCGCGTCGAGCGCCGCCCGCGCGGCCTTGTCGGCCTCCGCGGCGTAGCGGCTCGGGTCGTGGCGCGTCGACAGCTGGCGCCCGCGGTTCGGGATGGCCTCGACGGTGACGAGCGCGTCCCAGCGCCGGAGCTTCTTGTAGGCCTTCCACGTCCGCGGCTCGTTCGCCGGCGACTTCGACGGGTCGAAGGGCCGCCGCGGCTCGATGGCCGCGGCGCCCTTGAAGTCGCCGGCGGCGAGGAGCCGGCCGTACTTGCCGCCGCTCTCGATCTTCTGCCAGCGCGCGCAGCGGTCGACGTAGTGGCGCGCGGACTGCTGCAGCGCCGTCGTCGGGTAGCCCGCGGGCACCTTTTTCGGCGGCGACGCGGGCGGTGGCCGCTCGTAGGGCTTGGCGCCCGCGGCCACGAGGCGCGCGGCGGAGGCGTCGGTCCACTTGGCCTTGGCCTTGTTGACCTTCAGACTGCCGTTCTTGCCGACCTCGAGGCCGAGCTCGGACATCGTGGTCGCGTGCTTGCTCGTCGACGTGACCTTGAACGCGAGCGACGCCTCGTAGTCCTTGGCGTTGACGCGGTGGCCCGTCGACGCGTCGTAGGTCGACGGCGCCGGCGGCTTCTTCTGCTTGTGGACGACGACGCGGAAGACGGGCGCCGCGCCCCCGGCCTCCGCGGGCTGGTCGCCCGCGGCCGCGACCGCGCGGACGTGGCGCAGCGCCGCGCCGACGGCGACGGGGCGCACGGTCTGGGGCTCCTTCTCCTCGAAGCGGTCGTCCCAGGCGCGCACGGGGCCGTGGGCCTTGGCCTTGGCCCTGCGCCGCTCCGCGACCGGGCTCGCGGGCCGGTAGACGCGGCGCGGCGCGCTCCGCGGCCGCTGCTTCTTCTTCCGCTTCGCCGCGGGCTTCGCCGACGCGGCGCCCGCGCGCCGCTCGCCGCGCTCGCGCTCGTCGAGGCGCGCCTCGAGGCTCGCGATCTTCGCTAAAAGCGCGTCCATGGCCTCGTCGCGCTCGGGGCTCGACTCCGCCGCGGCGACGACGGCCGGCGACCGCGCGGACGCCGACGCGGACTGGGGCCGCGGGCCGGCGCGCGCCGCGGCCTTGGCCGCGGGCGCCGACGCCGCGAAGGCCGACGCGGGCGTCGACGCGGACGGCTCGAGGCGCCGCGCGGCCGCGGGCTCGTCCTGGCGCCGCGTCTTCGCGGACTGGGGCCGCGGCGCCT